GACTAGTTGCTGCCCCAAGTGGAGGAGTGAAAGTGTATTGGAGATTATAAGAGATTATGTCCCTCAGCTGGACTGGGAAGCCTCTGTGTTCCCCTGGATGAGTAGGAGGAGATACCTGGGGAGAGGGAGGCCTGGACTCCAAGTATACACCAAGTGAACCAAAATGTCTTCCTAAAGAAATCACATCCGAAGCTACAACCATTCGGTGTAGGGCAGGTCCAATAGAAGTAAGATGATATAAGATTATGATTAGTTTAAATTTTGTGACCTCTGAATATTTATGGTAAAAGGTAACAGAATGCAAAACATACTTAGCAACCCAAAGATGGTCAGATCAAACTTTAGCATACATCTGGCAGTTAAGTTGGATTGTGGTCTGATCACCACTCTGGAATTCATTTTGAGATCACTGCCTCCAAAAGGTCTCAGTTTAACTGTTGTGAACTGGACCAAGGCTACGTCCACACGTACACGGGTATTTTTGAAAACGGAGATTTTCCGTTTTCGTTTTAAAAAATAATCCCGTCCACACATAAAGGCAGAAATGAAGGAAAACACTGCTAGGAACATGCCAAAGCAGCAGGTGGCGATATATTCCTAACCGTGCAGAAATGTTGGCCAATCAGAAGTCTAGAAGCCTCGATGGGAAAAAGTAAACAAAGCTGGGGCATAGAAGCAGAACCGAGTGTATGTGTGGAGGGACAGTAACTGTGTGTGTATATGTAAGCATTTAAACACTGCAGAGAGTACAATTAACAGTATTGTAGAAATTTATTTCACCGAAACAATAACGTGGCGCACAGTGTGACGTCAAAAAATGCGTACACCTTTGACGCTGCGTTTTTCTCGTCCACACGTAAATGCAAAAACTGAGTTTTCAAAAATATCCACCCTGGCTGGAGTTTTTAAAAATCTCCAATTTCAGTGACCAAAAACGCAGTTTACGTGTGGACAAAAGGTGCAAACGCATAGAAAAATCTGCGTTTTCAAAAATACCCGGGTACGTGTGGACGTAGCCCAAATGCGATTGCACAAATGAACTTCACCAGGGAAAATGAGCCAGAGTTTGATTTAAATTGATTAGGCAGCACAGGTGTGAAAACACCCTTAGACCATCTAAAGCTTGACTTCAGCAGATGACAGAAATCAGTTATGGTCAGTCCAAAACTGAGGTCCTCGATAACACAGAAAGATATGTGCACCAGTTTCCAAAAAACATACATATGTGTCAGAATCTTAGTTCTCTGTTCTCGCAGTGAATATTCTGACAATAATTAAAAGTTTATAATCTTATATATTGTTTACAGTGCAATACAAAAGTGTTCATTCAAACTGGTACTGTACTTTTGATAAAAA